CCTGCTTATGTTGGCAGCTGTAGAAGTATCTCAGAAAACTTCTAATTTCTACCCTAGCAGCCTGATTCATATTTTAAATAATGCTGACCTCTGCCAACAAATGTGGACAAAAGGCTGCTTGTGTAGTAATCTATAAATAAACAAATGAATAAGTACATCCACATGCTGTGGGTGTCATTTACAGGGGTGAAAATAGAGGATAGCTGTCTTCAACTAAAAAGATCCAAACTGGTTTTGCCTCATTACCAATTACTTTGTAATTAGTGCTAAATTTCTTTATTTCACTGCCTTTCCTGGTTTGTTTTTGGACCCCAAAAGCTAAGGGAAGTTTCTTTCCTCATAAAAAAAAAAGCTGCACAAAAGCTGTCATCCATGAGGATCCTCCTTTATTACACAGCAGAGAAGAGAGTGAACTGCATGCTGATAATAAATTTTCTGAGAATATACTTTTGTTAATTGTTTTTCATGGTTGTACTGTTAGTAGTTTACTAGAAAGCACTGCTGCTATAACACTATTTTTTTCAACACTCTACAAAATTCAACAAATAAAAAAACCCATCAATATTTTGGAAACTGTAATGAGATCTCTTTCTATATGAGGTCCACTTGAATTATCTGGTAGTGACCTCCAAAGTTGCTGCAGGGTTACAGCTTCTGTACTACCCTCAGCAACCATAATTATATGGCACTTGAGCCTCAGGAAACAAATATGATATGCATTCCTGTGAGACAAAGAAATTTCCCAAAGACTGCCCTGAGTTCTGGAATGACTTTGTTTAAAAAAAAAAAAAAAAAATCATTCTCAAAACAGGCTTCAGGGTTCTTTTTTTCATCAAAACAGTACACTAGGAAAAGAAAGTTAATGTGCCTTCAGTTGTTATGACCATACTCAAAATTCTGTATCAGTCCCAAGACAGTGCCTAGATCAGGAGGCCACAGCAATAAGTTTTCCTGATGAAGATATTTTGGAGTTTTTTGAGGGAAGGGTGGGATGGACCTATGTATTTCTTTTGATTCTTACCGTCTAGATGATACAGTGGCACACAGTATATGATTCTACTGATGACTTTTACATTTTTTATAGGCTAGCAAGTGATACTGACTCTCCTGGTTATTCTTGAGGAGGCATGGGATATAATTTATTTGGGGTTTTTTTGAAAGCAGATAGGACTCATGGAACTTTAAATTTCTTTTAAAAATGTCTTAATTTTTTGTCCAGAGGAACAGTTCTGCTGGACACTGTTAGTGATAAAATTGTCCTTAAATATTCAGTTCTTCAGGATTATATTTACAGCTCAGCTTGGCACAGAGATGACCTCTAACTGTTTAACCAGGCAAAAAGTAATCTAGATTGCTGATGGCAAAAATCCTCTTCAGAGTTTGATGAATTGTGACAAAGCATTTTCACAACTTTGTTCTGCTGGTATGTTGCAGAGAAAGTATTCCTCCTCTCTTGTCATGCTGTTCAGACAACCTGAAATAGTGGAAACTCTTATTATTCTGTAGGTAAAACTGTTATGTGTAAAGCTGCATTACATACTACGAGAAAATAGGTGCATCTAACAGGACCTAATAATAACATGTGCTCTCATAAATCTATTTTGATTACTCTGGATTTCTACTTTCCTCAATCCCTCCTATACACTGAAGAATGACAGACGATTCACTTCAATTCCATTAGTCACAGGTAAATGAACTGCTTCTAGTTTATAGTCAAGACAGATACTTCACTGCAAGTTATCTGGGTGAACTTCAGCCTAGAGAGGCTGAATGTGAAGAAAAAAAGGAATAGGAAATGATATTAAGTGCACAGTGTTCACTAGACGTTTTTCTTATAAGAAAAGTGAGATACATAAAAAATACCCAGCCAAAAATAGGGTAAAGAGCTGCTTCTCAGTCAGCCTTCTGTCTTTGCCAAGGAGTTAAGGACCTTTACACTTCTAGTTATTAGACTGCCTGCATTTATCCGGACATTTGTCAGCTCTAGACTGTGGTAGTAAAATGTATCCTGACATCTGGAAAATTGCTTAGAAATAAAAGCTTGTGAAGAACAGTTTTGTCCTTTTATATATCTTACAAGAAAGGTTTTACAGAAGCTTTCATATGCCTCTAAACCATAAACTACACTAAATGTATTGGCTCAGAGTGCTCTTAATTCCATATAGCCTATATTCATCTTGTGATCACAGGAGACAGGTAAGCCATTTTCATGTAAACTAAGTGGATACTGAAAAAAAAACATAGTTATTGTTTAATGGCTATTGTTTTCCAAATAGGTGGATAACTTTGATCAGAAGAGAAAAGAAACACAGAATTTCTTATTGCAAAACCAAACTAATTTTTTAAAAACTAGTTAGGATGAAATAAAACTTTTTATTCAGTCTAACTTCAGATATTTGGAGGTCATCACCTAAGCAGAAAACGAGTATGGGGAAATTTGCTTTAGGTTAATTTATTGATTAAGGCAAACTTAAGAATCACAATGATTCTTTTCACATAGCAGTTACCTACATTTTAAGCAAACAGTTTCACCTGAGGTCATGTTATTACCAGAGAACAATCTTCAAACCTGTTTAATCACCAAAAAAACCTAATGCTGTATTGGGTTTCAAAGACATGTGTCAATCCCTATGCGTTTACTCACGTTTAACTGAAGCATGAATCTTAAGTGACAATGATTTTAGTTTTAGTCATGAGGAAGTTGAGACATTATTTTACTGTTTACTTGGGCAGGATGACGCTGGATTTGTTCCCCAGATGCTGTTCAATTTTTTACTGAATTCAATACTGAAAGAACTGCATGTAGTTTACATGTAGGTGACTTCTTAAAATCTGCTGTTCTCTTGTTTGGTACACATTTAGGTACATCTGTTATTCAAGTGACAGCCACAGATGCTGATGATGCCAACTATGGAAACAGTGCCAAAGTGGTGTACAGCATCCTACAGGGACAGCCTTATTTCTCAGTGGACCCAGAAACAGGTTAGAAATCCATTCAGTCTTAATTTTTTTGATGACAGAGACAGCATGCAGGTATCAAGACACTTTTCACTTGCATTTAAATATTGGAGCAGGCGTATGGCTTCATATGACTTGACACAAAGCTGATACACTTTTTCTAAATGGGAACTGGAATCACAATAGAAGTATGGAGGGTTTTGTTAAAATAATATTATTGCAGAAGAACTACTTGGTATGAATAAGACTTCTTGAAGACAACAGTTAACTGTAAAGGTCAACAGTTCAGAAAGGGTGTAGAATATTGGAAAGAGTCCGAAGAATCGTGAAAGTATTAAAGCTTATTTTACACCAATTTCTGGGAATTTCATCTGGTTTTCTTTAAGAAAAGAAAAAAGGAAATGGACAATCTCAGACTGTAAGGTAAAATAAAAAATATCCTCAAAGGTAAATTAAATATTTCTAAGTTTGTGATAGATTCTTGACCATTGACAATTTTTAGCTCAAGATGCTTTTTGAAACTGTACTACGATCCCAACAGCGATTTGAATTGAAGCAAG